TGTCGCAATCACAGTGCACTTGATTTAAATAAATTGTGTTTTTAAATGTGACGTAAAACGTTTCCGCTTAGTGTGTGTTTTAATGCGCTCCAATACTCCATGTACTCAATTTCAGTTCCCTTCCGTAATTTATTTTTTTTCAAGTCCGGCATAGGGAATTTTATTTTTTTTGGTTCTCACCAACCAGCTAGTTATTTCAGAATTTTAAATTTTGCATCAGAGAGAGAGAGAAAGCAATTAAATTTATAAAAACCAGTTAATATACATTACGCTGATTTAAACAAAATTACCATGCACTAAATCTAACCAATCACAGGGTCAGTTGGACCGAACATTTTGACCAATTACTGACAAAGCAGCATATTTTTGCCGTCTGTTGAGTTAGTTGCAAACGATGCACAGTTTCTGGTGCTGATGTCAAAATGAAGTGTGTCATTTAGCAGTAATAATTACCAAGCATTTCAGCCAATTAAATTTACCGATAAATCAATTTCCAACGGACCAATTTAGTAATTAAATCGGCTCTCACACTTATTGCATCTTCGACCAATAGAAATAAATGAAAAGTAGGTTGTATTTGATTGGACAGATGGAATGAATTTATTCCCAATTTAATTAACTCTGGTTAACCACAAGTTTTGGACAAATCTGGACCACGACGCTGTTTGTTTTCGATCCCTCGCAGGAATGGTGGTTGGCGCGATGTGCGCGATAACTGGTGTCCTCACAATCGCTCTTCCTGTGCCCGTCATCGTCTCCAACTTCTCCATGTTCTACTCCCACACCCAGGCACGCATGAAGCTGCCGAAGAAGCGTCGACGAGTGCTGCCCGTGGAGGCGATTCGACCCAAGAAGAAGCCCTCGGTGTCGCCGAACGCGTCGTGCGCGGTCTCGCGCAACGGTGACACGCGGTTGCGGACGACCTCAAAGAACGCCTCACCTTCCATCTCAACGACTATTCCAAACGCGCTCCACCTGAACAAACGCCTGCACAGTGCGTTGCTCAGTTGATTGTGGCACTAGACTCCGTGTTCGTCTTTAAAATAAACTCACCTAGCTACTACTTAGTTGAGGAAAGTAGTAGTTTGCTAGTTGTTGAAGATCCCGGGGTATTTTTGAATGGAACTCAATCAAATTCAGACACCAGAATCTACTCCTCACCAACCCCTTCGGTAGAGACAAATCTTGACGCGAGAGACAGCCAATAAATTATGGGGACAAGGTAGGCTTCGTGAAATAGAACAAGGCATTATGTTCTGAAAGTTCCACGTTTATTGTGTTACCTGGATTCCTGGATATTCCCGCAGCTGCTAAGTCAAAATCCTTCCAGAATGCTATAAAAATTGACATTAACGGCCATTGGTGACGTAGGCGTTTAGCGAAGTGCTACCCACAATATCAGAAGTACACTTTTTTCCAGCCGTCGCAAAACGATACTTCAGTCTAGACACTGTCACGTAAGCAGGCAGGACGCTGCGTTGTTTAAATTCATTAATTTCGCGTGTAAAAAAACAAGGTGAGTCCGTACATACAAGCACCGTCTTAATTCGCCTCCAAAAACCAATCAGAACACGTCATTTTACTGTTCTGATTATTGTCATTGCATCATTTAAAATTTGCCCACGCCACATTGAGCGCTCCATGGTTGAATTAAACTATATGAAATTACACGGTTTAACCTTTAATAAGCCAAGGTGGTTAACAGACAATGTGGAAATTTCACACGATTCAATTAAAGGACTTCGGTTTAAAGTCAGTGGAGGTTCCGATCGTCAAACACATCTGCTGTTCTAGTGATGATGGACTGGAGGATTCTTCAGGACTGTCGTGTCCTCAAGACTCAACGGTCCAGGAAGCTGTTGGAGATGCCGATTTTGGACTTGGACGAGGCTTGGGTCGTTCTAGACGCTTCTGCTGACGCAAGCATCGTGGATCGATGGGTTTTGTCAACGAGACTTGATCGTCAAGACTCTTGTAAGGATGCCACCAACCACTCTGACACAACTCAGGTGTGGCATATCCTGAGAATTTTGTAAAGCACCTTAAACTACGGCTCCTCCTTCCACCACAACTCTCTTCTCTAACCGAGCAGGAGAGAGCGGCGTTCAGATCTTTCTTTGGTGGATGATCAACAAACGGAGGCGTGATAGAGACGTTTACAGGCGGATTTTGACAGATTATTTGCTATCTTAATCGCCCTAAAAAAATTGGAATTTAAAACTTTCTTAATTTCATCACACAGTGCGAGCGAAAAAAAAATAACGACAGCTGGCGACGTTGTTGCGAACGCATGTGGCTTAACCTAAATTAGCATAATGCGCACAAAAAGAGGGAGGTTTGAAGACAAGGTCACTGATGTGGGCGAATTCCAGACCAAGAATCAGAAAAATAAGGCGATGAGGGGGACAGGGATAACATGGGTAATTGTAATACGTGCTTTTGTTTAAACTGACGCGTTTTGATTGGTTTTTGGAGGCAAACCAAGGCGGCGCTTTCATCAAACTAATTTGTTTGGCACGTGTACTTAAAGAAATCGTACTGCTTTTTAATTGGCCCAATGTACTTTTGGTGTTACCAAAAACGCCCTAACACGCTTTCATGTCACCGAAAGCCATAAACACGACTTGCTTTAAAGGTAAATATCGTTTTTTATTGTTAAACTTGAACGTTTTTTAAAAAAAATAATGTTGAAACGCTTTCGAATTTTGATTTTAAAATTAAGTGGAACAATGTAAAAAAAATCCCTGATATTCAAGTGGTTGAAGGTAAGTTTTTTTGAAGGACACACTACCAGGTCTAGGTTTTTCTGGTGTTTCAATCAGCCTTATTGATGAGTAATCAATCGATAATTAACAAATACCTTATTCCAATTCTGGTTCGCTTTTCATTGGTTAAATGTCCAGCCAATAAGATTTGATAACTGTTGATAGTCACAATTGGTAGTCACCTATAACTGATTTGATCAAAAATACTTGTGTCAAAATAACCAATGAAGACGGTGGTACAAAGGGAGACAGAACAAAAACGCTGGTCATTGGAAGGCGATTAAAACGATTAACTTTAAACCAATCAGTTAATACAGAAGGACAATTTCCCGCGCCAATTCAAGTTCGTCACTTCGAACCACACAGACCGCTTGAACACAAAGCAGTGACTCGTTTTTACCCTAAATTAATATTAATTGTCGAAAATTTCATTAATTACGAAGTACGTTTTTTGACTAAAAGTTTGTTATTAAAAGTTAACCCTAAACAACAGCCAGAGTTTCACAAAGGACGAATGTTTGGCGCCAAGTATTGTCTAAATCGTGTCAGGGCAGAAATCGATGGTCACTGAGTGAACATCGTTTGCTGACCTGACGGTTGCTCTTACCAGATCGCCTCTCTTCTCTCCATTCTCGGGTTGTTACGGGCTGTTAACTAGAGGGTTGTAAGGTCGTGCTCAATCTCTAGCCGCTACACACCAACCCCTTTAAACTGGGCTCGGTTTTATTGACTGAGACCTGATGAAAAACCAATTTTTTATCTCTGCATAGCAATCGATCCTACCCGCCCCCCCCTCAGTTTTTGAATAACTTGTTCAAATTCTCACACAATCAAGATGACCAATCGAATTGATCAAAAACCGATCGTTAGCGGCATTCACTCAATTTCAAGTTTAACCCGATTTTTAAATTCTGCACAGTGGCGCCTCGCGGCCAATCAAATTCGCAGCTTGCAGCAATTGAAAGAAAACAAATTTCGTTTTGGTTTCAGGCATCCAACCAGCTAACCCGGCCTTTCTGGAGACAGTCGGGAAGCTGGAAGTGCCGGAGACTGAAATCAGAAGCACTCCAGGCTCGCAAACTCTTCACTCCAGACGCACCGCTATTGTTGACCTTGCCGATCCCTTGGTGAACGCACGAAACATTTCTCGTGAGTTCCGAGGTCAGCTGATGCCAACTTTTAGTGTTGGGGATGGTGGTGGTGGGGAAAGTGGTGATGATGGAGCTAGTGATGGCGGAATTCTTCAAATTCGGTGGTTGAGGATGTGGGCTGGTTAGTGTGGTGGTGGTGGTAGCATGCATACGACTGCCGAAAAAATTTCCACAATTCAATTTTCATCTCTTTTGTGAATTTCGGTTTCGATTCTTTGAGATCGCGTCCAGCCTTTTCCATCGATTTTATTAATTTCCTTCCAGTTTAACCGTTTTTGACAAGCGATTTCTCTCCCTAGGGAAATGGCCCTAATGATCGGAAATTTTCTAATTTTTCTGCAATTTCAACTGTAAAAATTAAATCGGCAGTTTATTCCAACTGGAGTCAGAACCATGCCAGACATTCCTAAATCATGTTAAGTGCAGGTAAATGATTAGCTGCTGTTAAAACGCTTCGCGCACATTGAAGCATTTTTTCCTGCATTTTTTTAAGAAAACAGTTCCTCGCTGCACAGCTCGGGCTACGAGCTACACGTTCAAGAATACGACGAGGAGATCTACTCCAACAGCCAATCACAACCGAGCCCTGTTGGCCACTGAGACAACGCCAAACTCTGCAACCAATAAACTGCGATCTTCCAACTTTTTCTTCTTCTTCTTTTTCTTCTTCCTCTTCTTCAAGAAAGCCAACCTCCTGAAGTGCCTAACATTATTCCTATGAAAAAATAAACACAATTACGATGCCAGCTTGTTTCTGGAGTTGTGTCGGACCCTCAAGTTGGCTGCAGCTTCGGGAAAAGCCTGGTCAAGCGGGACGTTTGCGAGAAAATCGCTCGTGGCACGGAAATTGCATAATGTTTAGTGTGAAGTGTTGTTAAATATCGCCAATCTAAAGGTGCTACATTTGACGAATTTCGACACAAGTGAGTCACCGATGAGTAGGCATATTTCTTAACGACACTGCCAAATTTTCACTGACTGGAAAAATTCAGCTGATAAACGGGCGGATGAATAAATCGCGTTGGGGTTTGTTAATGAATCGGCACAAATTTAAAATAGTATGTACTTACACACAATAAGTAGTAGTATTTATTTGTCTTGTTTTTCCGAAAATAAGTCGGCACCTGTCACAAAACTACCAGTCATAATTGGCTTTATTGAGCGCCGATGCGAAGCTGAGTCCTGATGACACTTGCAGTAAATTTTTGTTAAAATAAAGCAGAATTTATAAAATTAAGAAATGAGAATTGGCACAGAGAATAATGTATTTTTGTTTAGGTACGAAATATCACAGCACATACATGTACACAGACAACAGGGAAAGCACAGGTCAGGGTTCGTCCGTAAGTAGAGCGACCACGTCGACACCAATTTCAAATGCATCGTGCGACTTTCTAATGAAAATGAATGAAACAAGAACAAACATGCAACGTGCGAGGAAGCAAACGCACCACCTAATGCGCTCTGACAACAAAGTGAAGAGGAAAAGGCAGTAAAAAAAGGAACAAATGTTAGTGGAGTTAAGTAGAATTGCCCTTCGTGTTTGATACAAAAACAACCATCACCACCTACCTGTTGCGCTGTTTGGTCAGGACGTCCTGTTGAAGCCTTGTGATGGAATTCAGCTTCTCCATGAGGCTGGCAAGATTTTCCTCGGCCTTAGGGAGAGCAGCAAGAGCTCTGGAAGGTGTGAAATACATAGATGAATTAAGAACATAGTTATAAGACGAAAAGTGCTGGGAACCTACTCCAGACAGCCTTCGAGGTCGTAGTTAATTCCTCGTAGCTTCTCAGCATAAAGGGACGATCTATTCTAAGAAAAAATGGCAGTTTATGGGGAACGGTGAGTGCTATCACATACCTTTTCTTCGACTAAGTGAGGAGAGGTTTTCTGGATGTGTTCTTGAATTCGCGTGAAGGCGATTGCTGGCTCATTGGCAAGGTTAACGACAGTTCCAACGCTACTGCTATAGACTGGAAAATACGCAATAAAAATTAAATGACGTACTTTTTTGACATAACTTTTCGTGAGGCCGTTGGGTTAGTTCGCTACCCATCTAGTCTAAAAAAATTTGACTTACAATTTAGAGATCAATTAAAAATGAAGCAGATGGTGTAGAAAAAGGGCTATTAAAAATGGCTAATTAAAAACTAAATACTAAGGTTCTTAGGACGATGTGCCAAATAAAAAGGGTGATAATATTTACAAATTACGAAAATGAATAGATGATGATGAAATGATCATCCACAGTGATTTGTGTGACTGCATGTGCCAGTACAATTACAATAGCAATGGGAAATGAGGAAAAGTAACAAAATTATAAGTTAAGCACAAGGTAAAAAGCATAAAGTGTGATGATTACCAAAATTAACAAGTGTGCAATTTTCTAGTTGCACTAAATGGATAATATACAGAATCCAAATGTTGGGAAAAATTGTTGCAGTGAATTATAAATGTAAATAAAGTGAATCTTATAACGATGAAGCGTGAAAAATTCTGTTGCTTCAGCCTCTATGATTGGTATCACCCGGTTTTTATCCAGTTTGGATGAATTTTGCTTTGACGGCTTACTTTTTTATCCTTCCATTATTAACAATAAAATTTCATTCACCCTATTAAAAGGTCAAAATAAATTTAATTTTTGCAGTTATTTTGTAAAACTTTAAGTGCTTAAGATAGTTTCTGTTATTACAAGCTATGTATTAAGATCTTTGCTCTGGAATTATTACCAGCAATTAAAATGACATGACCAAATGCATAACACTAAAATTTAAAACCATTGAGTTACACCTAACTGCTTCTGTTACCTATGACTAATCGAAGAGTTAACCGATTATTCTTTGTATGAAAAATGTGTGTAAGTTATAAGATCAGAAAAATTTGAATTTTTTGAGTCTAATGATTTAAAAATAGCTCTAATATGTTTTCACAGTTTACTAGTCTTTTTTACCTATGAGCTCCAAAACCTTTCAGAAAATCATTAGTTGTTGTTGAAGAAAGAGTTTTCCTTCAGATGTTCGTGAAAATACTATGCCAGAAAACACGCTTTGCTTTCATTACTGCATCTTTAACCACATCTAGTGTCAAATTTTTCACCAAGCCCCACACTACTTCACTAGGGAAATCCATTTTCTCTCATGCAATTTCTATAACGACTGGTTACTGCTCATTTTTGGCTCATGCCTTTTTTTCGAAAAATGCAAGTTTGGCTAACTGAATAATTTTCGTGCTGTTGCAGATATTTTCGAAATACTTGAAAAATTAAAGTTGTTTTTTCCTAACTTGTACAGACGAGGTTCAACGTTTCTGTTGAGCTTATCTGAAGTGATAACCGCATCAAATCTATGTCCTTGAACAGTTAATGGAATGATTTCATGCTTTTTTGCAAGTTCGTTAATTCACAGGGAATTTGGATGCTAATTTTTTCAAATGAGCCAATTTGGCTTTATTGCTCTACAACACGCCGAACCGATTCCACTTTTTAGCCTCTCCGAAGAAAAATTCGAAGCCACACCAACAATCCGATTAGCAAATTTGATACATCAGCCTACGAAAATCCGACCAAAAATCGACTATTACTTAATTTAGACTGCTTGATAATGGATTTTTACAGGTTTGTTAATTCATAGCTAAAATAGGGTGCTGATGCTGTCAACTGATACCTTTATTTCACATCGATATTTGACTTGATTGCCCCACAATCGAAGCCACACGAACAAAACGCTGTTCAATTACACAAAAAATCTCTTGTTTGCGCGCAGACGCGAACATGTACAAGGCATTCTACTAACAGTGGTTCAGAAGGATGCATTTTATCAAAAAAAGGCAATGAGGCGAAATGGACAGTCGCATGCGGCAGGACTATACACAGACCAATTAAATTTCCCTGTTGTGTAATTAATGATAGTAATAGCAATGTCGAGGAATCGATTGGATGGACTGGAGTCAATCAGCAGGAAACACGATAGGGAACACCTCCGAGTAGTGGCTCACAAAGTGCACCTCGATGTCGGACTTGATGAAGTCGGCCAAGTCGTCAAAATCCTTCCTGTTCATTTCCGGCAAAATGACCGTCTTGACCCCGGCGCGCTTAGCCTAGACAGGAAAAAAAAAACAAACAATCGATTAACACTACCCTCCAGAGGGTGCCACTGGCAATTGATCGATGACCCTACAGCGATAACTTTCTCCTTGATTCCACCCACTGGAAGCACCTTCCCCGTTAGACTGATCTCCCCGGTCATGGCAAGGTCAGGACGAGTTGGTTTCTTACAGGCTAGACTCAGCAACGCCGTCACCATGGTAACGCCAGCAGATGGACCGTCCTGGGCAAAGGGGGAAGACTCGTTAGTAGACAGTCGGACGCTTGATACACCCACATTTGAGCAAACCAACCTTTGGTGTAGCGCCTTGGGGGACGTGGAGGTGTAATTTGGCATGTCGAAGGAAGTCACCTGCGCTGGCCGCCTCTTTCTCCGTCAGTTGTTCGACGCCGTCGGGGTTGGGCGCGCCGTTGAGAGCGTAGACGCCGGCGAAGGTGTGTGCGATCGCCACCGACTCCTTCATCACATCACCCAGGTGCCCGGTTAACCGAAGACTACCTACATGAGGCAAAACTGTCCTCTTATAGATTGTGAGTAGTCAGTCAGTTTTTAGAGAAAAAAATGTGCAATTCACCGGGTGAAGCCTTTTTACTGCTCTTTGATTTGGATTCACTAGCGAAGGGCTCCTTGTTGATGCATTCAACGAAGAGAACTGAGCCGCCCATAGCCGTCCACGCGAGACCCATGACAACGCCCGGCGGGGTGTCTGAGGGGTAGAGGCGGTCTGTGGTCCACACGGGCTGGCCCACATAGGCCACCACGTTGTTCTCGTCAACGTGAAGCGGCGCCTCGGCCTCAGCATTCACCAGCTTGTAGGCAGCCTTACGAAGAATCTAGAATGATTCAAAAATACTACTTAGTAGTATTAAGTAGAGGAATAGCATCGGGGTTTCTAAACGGGACAAAATGATGCTTACTTTCTCGATGTGCTTCTGCAGATTTCGAACGCCAGATTCACGACAATACTGACGAATTAGTCGCCGAAGCGCGCCATCTGTGATCGTCACGTGTTCCAAGGTCAGACCCGACTCAGACGCGGCTTGTGGCAGCAGGTAGCGCTGTAGAGTCAAAATAAATAGTTCATAAAATACTCACTACTTGCAAGTGATCAGTAGTGTGACACAAACCTGAGCGATGGCCATCTTCTCCTCCGCCACGTAGCCAGACACCTCAATCATCTCCATGCGATCGCGCAGCGGCTCCGGAATGGTGTCGAGTTGGTTGGCGGTGCAGATGAAGAGCACCTTGCTGAGGTCCACCGTCACGTCCAGGTAGTGGTCGAGGAAGTTGGCGTTCTGCTCGGGATCAAGGAGCTCCAGTAGCGCCGAAGCGGGGTCGCCCTGCCACCCACGGCCCAGCTTATCGATCTGAATTGGGGTGGGGGGGAGAGCACAGTTAGGTACACTGGACGTCCACAAGCTACCAGCCAACGAGACACTGGAACGCTCCACGCGGGGAACGCGACCTACCTCGTCGATGAGAATGAGGGGGTTCTCGGTACGAGTCTTCTTCAAGCACTGGATAACCTTGCCCGGCATCGCACCCACATACGTCCGCCGATGGCCCTTGATCTCCGAGACGTCGGACATTCCACCCACGGAGAAACGGAAGTACTAAAAGTAGACAAAAAAAGGCAAGTAAGTAAGTGGTTGAGGCCAGACCACAGTGGATGGAGTGACGGGATTGGTGGATCGCGTGGACCAATCACAAGCCGAGGGAGCTCGCACACATACCTGGCGATTCAGTGCCCGGGCTATTGATCGCGCGATACTCGTTTTGCCGGTGCCCGGGGGACCGTGGAAACAGATGATCTTGCCCTGCGTGGTGCCCTTCAACTGGCTCACTGCGATGAACTCCTACAGATAAAAAAATAAAAAAACCAACAACCACGGGAGACAGAAAAGATGGGGTTGGGAGACACGTACGAGGATGCGCCTCTTCACGTCGTCCAGTCCGTAGTGATCCTCGTCCAGAACAACGCGAGCACGCGCCAGATCGAGGTTTTCCTCGCTCGTGAGACCCCAGGGCAAATTGGTCAACCAGTCGAGGTAGTTACGAGTCACGCTGAACGCCACAAAAAAGAAAGTGGTCACAAAACCGTTAGCCTAATGACCACAGTGGACTTACTTGAATTCCGACGAGTGGTGATCCAAGACAGAGAGTTTACTCAATTCCTCGTCGATAACCTCGGTGACGGCTTTTGGCACGGTGAGATTCTGCACACAAAAAAATATTTCGCGTTGCAGATAAGTTATAAAAACAGAGCTACTTAACACGTATAAGTAGAGTGCCCACCGCCAGTCGAGCTCGAAACTTCTCCGCGATGGCGTCCTTGTCGTCCTTCTCCATGCCGAGCTCGCGTTTGATGACCTTCAGCTGCTCCGACAGCATGTACTTGCGGTGCTGTGTCTTCACCTTCTCTTCCACCTCCTTGCCGATTTGCATCTGCAGACGGCCCATTTCGTGCTCTTTTTTGACCAAGTCAAGCGACAGACGCAGACGCGCCGGAATACTCCTCTCCTCCAACACAGCTTGCAGTTCAGCAGGGTCTGAACCGGAGGTGATGGCAGCACCTAGGAGCGGGCAGACGGTTAGACAAGCTCATTGGCGTGAGTCGAATGAGGTGGGGTAGGGGGAGGTGGTGGGAGGTGAGGTGGGGTAGGGGGAGGTGGTGGGAGGTGAGGTGGGGTAGGTGGTGGGAGGTGAGGTGGGGTAGGGGGAGGTGGTGTGAGGTGAGGTGGGGTAGGGGGAGGTGGTGTGAGGTGAGGTGGGGTAGGGG